TGAAAGCGCCATCAAGCCTTGCAGCGACGACACAGAGGAACTCTCAATGAAAGCACCAATGTCGGTGTCAAAACCGGCGGATCTCGGGTAGGGGGTCCCGATCTGTGCGTCTTAGGCTGATGGTAACAGGAAGCAAGGGACACAATGTTTACCCAGGTTCGGGCCCTCTCGATGGAGGTAAAACCCTACTTCCTGCTTGATTAATATTGAAGATATGAGTAGTACAAGAGTAGATCTACCACGAGATTGTAGAGGCTAAACCCTAGGAGCAAGCCTATGATGGTATGATTGTAATTGTGATCGGCCTTCTAAGGGCCAACCTCTCCGGTTTATATAGACACCGGAGAGGGCTAGGGTTTACATGGAGTCGGTTACAAGGAAGGAAACACAATATCCGGATCGCCAAGCTTGTCTTCCACGCAAAGGAGAGTCCCATCCGGACACGGGCCGAAGTCTTAAGTCTTGTATCTTCACGCTCCAATTGTCCGGACGATGTATATAGTCCGGCTGTCCGGATACCCCCTAATCCAGGACTCCCTCAGAGGGCTTCACTTTTTTATGTTTCATCGAGTTTTGTTAGGGTTAGTGTCATGCTCAGGAAGACGAGACGGTGATGGCTCACTGAAGAAGGAATAAGGTTCTCACCGCCTAGCCCCGTCCCGGTGGTGCGTCTAGCATCGTCGGCGGGTGTGTGGAGGTGTGTCTCCGGCGGATCTATCCTTGGTGGAGTTGTTCGGATCTGGTCGTAGTTCGTCTATGTTTGTGTGTATTCAGGTTGGATCCTTCCGATCTACGCTATTGTTCAACGGCGGTGGTTGCAGTTCTGGGGTGCTTGTTCTATGGGGCCTTAGCACGACGACTTTCCGACTGTCGATTAAAACAACTTTTGTCTTCCTCCGGCGATGGAGGGGCGATGACAGTGGCGCGTATTCGGCTCGCTTCAGTGCTTGTAGTCATCATTAGGTGATCTACGGATTTGGATATAATTTTTATTATTTTTTATGTTCGTTGTACTGCCATAATTGAATATGAATAGACTGGAAGTATTTTCGCAAAAAAGGGATGTGTCTGTAATCCTTAAAAATATCATATCTAAATTCGAAATACACATGGAGAACAAAAATAGAAATCTTGTTGTGAATAGCGTCTTTTTTTTGTTTTTGTCTTCTTTTGACACTATTCATGATGGATTTCTCTCTCTTTTTTTGTTCCTCAAATTGTATTTCGGATCTGAATTTTTAGGGCTTGTAGGCACATGTGTTGTGAAAATTCCTGATTTTTTTCAGAATTTTTCGGAGCTTTTAAATTTGAATGTTTTTAATTGGAAGCATGGGATCACCTAATACTTTTAGTATGGTAGCCTATTGTTTTCTTTTGCTTTGTGAGAAACAGCAAAAAAAAATTGAGGAATTGTGAGAAACAGCATGGTAGCTTTTTTTTTTTTTGAGAAATAAACAGCATGGTAGCTAGCTACGAGAGGTCTCTGGTCACGGGCCCTGGTTAAGTGGTTATTGGACCGCATCATCATCTCTATATAGCAGGCCTGGGCCGGTGGGTTTCAGAGATTGCCCAAATTCAATGGAAAAAAGGGTAATTAAACCTAGACCTCCCGTCCCGTGACCTGATCGAAACTCAGCCAAACAAGTCTTCGATCGATCGTCGGCGCGGATCCATCGATGGGCCGCCGACGGCGTCGTACCCCTAGCATCAAACCGATCACGCCATGGATTACGATGCCAGTCCGGTGGTCCGATCTCCCCGACGACCTCCTCCAGTTGGTCTACAGCAAGGTCGCCGGCCCGCTCAACCGCGTCCGCTTCGCCGCCGTGTGCAGGTCGTGGCGAGTTTGTGCGATCACGTCGCCGCATGCGTCGCCGCCCGTCCTCCCATGGCTCATCTTCATCGACACCCGTGAGGACGTCAACAAGACGAAGGTGTACTGCCCCGAGGATGGCCGGGTCTTCCGCATGTCGCTGCCGAGCCAGGCGGTCGGCAAGCGATTCGTGGGAGCCCATGACGGCGGCTGGGTCGCCGTGCTTGGGCACGACATGCAGCTCGCGGTCGTGAACCTCTTCTCCGGTGTAGAGATGCCGCTCCTCGCCAAGAACATGTGCTACCTAGGCGGCTGGTACAACATTAGAAAGATTGTCTTTTCGGAATCCCCCACTTCAAGCGACTGCATCCTCGCCACCGTCACATCTGGAAACAATGTCGCCCTCTGTAGAATTGGTTGTCCCAACAGGGGATGGACGGAAAAACAACTCGGGTTGTACCTTGTGGACATTGTATTCTGCAACGAACAACTCTATGGACTCACCATCTCCGAAGAGCTGATCAAGTTCGAAATAGGGGTGGACAAAGATGGCAGGGCGGTGCTCAGCAGCAAACCGCACGCGATGTCCATCCGAGCGCGTCCCGGCGGTATCACGCAACTGAACAACATCATCGAGTTACACGGCAAGCTAGTGATGGTGGTTAGATCATTATCAGATGAAGCCTTCCTTGAGCCTTTCTTCAAGGTGTTTGAGCTTGTTGATGAATCGGACGCTTACAAGTGGGAGGAGGTAACGAGTTTGGGTGACTATGCCATCTTTTTAGGGAAAGCATGGTCCAAGGCTGTGTATGTGTCATCTGTTGGACACGGTGGGTTGCGGAGAAGTTGCATCTACAGTACCGATGATATGGTGTGCTCCACGTGGTTGGAAGATAATCGTCGCCATTTACATCCTACGAGTGATGATGCCATGTGGAAGATCAGATCATATGTAGTTGCTCGTGCTCCAGGTGGCATGTGGGTTCTCCCACCGGATTTCTAGCAACCAAGAGTATAGTCTAGCGTGGCAACTTTGGCTTAGTATATATGAGATGTTAAAGTCAACCATTATCATAAATTGAACCCTATAGATTATAAGAATAGTTGTAGTATACAAAGTCACAGTTGATGTAGAGGCATGCGTGCCTCGTTAAAATAGTCATTATCAATCTATAGGATGGTTGGAATATTGTGTTGTGACATATGTATATACAAAATTTTTGAATCATTCATTCTTGTCTTACTATTGTCACTTAATGTTTTTGGCTATGTATCTCGACAATACATTTTGACTTTCTATGCTAAGATCAGTTTTGAATTCATGGTAATAACTTGTATCATGCAATGACACGTATCCTACCACATATAGAGATTCATCTTGGATCCTTGTGTAATTCGACCAAGCACCTAGAGATACATAAATGTCTACCATATCCTTTGGCTCTGTTATTTCGATTGATGGCTTTAATTTGTTGTGGGTTGCCGTCAAAAAATTATAAGACATATACAACGTATATATTTTAGAGGCTAACCTGTTCAACCATAATAATACTATACATTATTGATGGATGGTAGTTTCCCAAAAACAAAAGTGGACAATGATTCACAAGCATTCAAGGAAATAACAATAGTAATATACTTGAATTGAGAAAATAAATTATATATGAGTAAATAAAAAGGTGAACATTGATTGAGAGATGAAATATGGTTTAAAAACTAGCAAGCTAGTCAAAAGCCAAACTTTTAGATGTGGCATGGTCACTTGGGTGTACTTCACAATATAGTGGAACCTTATGAACCATCGATGACATGCTATAAAAAACATAACTAAATCTAGCTACGATATATGTCTTAATTTAGTAAACCATATCAAACATTAATATAACCACTTATTAAAAAGATATATCCAAATATGGTACTTTCGTATATGCCAGATAATTTCTCGTGCACTGGGAAAATCGAAAACCAAAAACAGAGGTCGAGTAAGGGAGGACAAAAGAAAGGGCATAAGACGAAATTTCATGTATTTTTAAAGTGGGAGAGATTTACAAAACTAAATGATGCATCGGAGAAAAACGTTGTCTAAATTAAGCACGCACAGATGCTTACAGCTCAACTCACACGGGGAGAGAGTTGTCCGTTGATCAGACCATGTGAGTGAAGGTGACGGCGAGTAAACTAGTGAAGAAATGCCTGACTTGCCTTCAGGGATTGTGCTGCTGTAGCTGTTACAAGTTTTCAGTGTCAGTTTAGTGCAACTGAACTGACATGTACTAATGAAGTACTCAGGCAATGGGAGTAGGGACTTTTGTTTGTATTGATTGAGGGTTTATTGCTTCATCTGACAGAAAATAATTAGACCTCAGTGTTGATGCATCATTAAATTGTAGAGGTTCATGAGTGTCTCTTTAAGAACTGACATCCAAAGATGTTGGGTGTTCTGATGCATTGCTGCTATGCTGCTACATGCTAGCACTAGAAAGCATGCAAATGTTATCCATCAGTGAAGAGAATTCCGCAGTTAATATGCAGCAAGTATTCATGCTGTCCATATAATTTCGTATGCCATATGTTTTGGTACATGAATGGCATTCATTCATGTGTCAGAAATCCTAAAGATCAAGTTGTTGGAGATCTGTCGGTCCTCCTTGGTTTGGTGTTCATACAGTAGAGTTAAAATAAACTCCATCATGGTTTGGCCTTCTAAGCTGTAGGGTGTTGATAATGTAAAAAGTAAATAAATAAAGACTTACGTATAGACATCAATACACTGTGTATAAAATCATCACAATCACATCTTTTTACAAGGAAAATAGCAAATCCATCTTAATGGTATATCATTTATTCAACTGATGCAGGTATATCATTTCACACCTTTCGTGCTAACCCTATGCCGCGAAGACCATAAGACAGAGTCAACAATGATGTTTTGATCCCTTTAAATTGCAGGCACAATACTGATGTTCAGAATATCTAAAGAACTTCCCTGAGACTACTGTACAGACGTGAACACAATATCTATAGGGTAATCAGAATTGTGTCTTTTTTTCACAGGGAAAACGATGATCCATCGTCGTGTACTAGTTTCTGTGAAGTCACTTATTTGATTACTGCAGGAATATCATTTCATACCTTTGGTACTAATCGTATCATATGTTGCCGGGACCGTAACATGGACAGACAGCGGTTACTTGACAAGGCCTAGGCTGAGGATGCCGAAGGAGGTATGGGGCCAGTCTTTCTCCTTGGCCTTAGTCAGCATGGCTCTGCCCCAGGACACCCACCCCTCCCATGGCATCCTCTTGTCCCAGCTGCTCCCCCACTCCAGCAGCAGCTTCAGCCCTTCCTCCGCCTGCTCCTGCGCCTCCTCGTACATCTCCGTGTTCAGGCACATCTGCGCGAGCACCAACCGTGGCTCCCCCACAAATGGGTTCTTGGTGATGCTTTGCCGGAGCAGCTCCTCCACTTTGGACCGGTCTGTCGCCTCCTCGTCGCTGCACACGGCCTCCCAGTAGAGGTCTCGCGCCGCCTTCTGGTCTTCAGCGTCCAGCACCTTCGTGCAGCCATCGAACACCGGCGGTATCACAAGTGCGATGTCCTCGTCGCGTGTGGCAGCAGAGTTGTTGCCTTCTTGGCTAGTGTGTGCTCGGTGAGCTATGTATATCTCCTCTTCGCGAACAATTAGGCTGTAGAGCACACCCATGCGGGAGATAGAGGTGGTCCAAAGGCCGGGCTTGCCTGTGCCAGGCCACAGTGACGTCCAGGTGTTGCCTCGGAACTCAAGGCGGCCGTTGGCGTTGTTGAAGAGACGGTCCTGCCAGTCGAAGAGCTGGTCACTGAAGTCTGCCATTGTCATCATAAGGAATGTCGCCGCTACCCGCCTAGAGAGAGCCACATCCTCACCAGTCCTGCAGGGTAACGATTTACATCAGGTGCACAGTAGAAGCAGAGCAATCTTTTCTGAACTCCAAATTCTCATTCAGTTTGTACAAGGTGCAGAGACTAGCTAGTTTGCTTAGCAAATCCCTTCTGCACAGCAGAAGCAGTACCGCCTTTTCTGAAATCAAAATTCTCACTTTTTTTAGAACTATCAAAATTCTTATTGGGTTTGGATTAAGCTGCGGCTACTAGTTTGCTTGGCAACTATCCTTTTGCTTCACTTGGCTGCCGAGTTCAGAACAGATTTTTTTTAATTCAAATTTAACATATCTTGGCAAGATGCCACATAATCTTGCAAATTTGCTATAACGAAGGTTTTCACTCACAGCAACATGACTGAGGTTTTTTAACTGTATAATTTACCTGAAACAAAGTTGTGAGATACAAATTTTTCCTAATCCTGATAAACGCTGCATGAAGGCCTAATCCTGAATCTTGCAACTTTTTTTTTTTTGCGGGGGAAATCTTGCAACCTGTAATGATCAATGAAACAAGAGTACTTGATCCTCAATTTATAATCTATCATCTCGCTCATAACCTTGGATTTCTCCGTGAACTCTATACATCTCTCAGCAGTATATATTTTCCAAGAAACACTACACAACAGTGTGTAATTCAGTTATCTTTATCTGAAGTCTGAACATCAGCACCGATTTCGTCAAAATCTGAGACAAACGCACGCACCTGATGTGCTTGACGGTGATTCCGTCGGCCGGGAGGAGGCGCTGGATCTTGCGGCGCCAGGGCTCGTCCTCGTTGAACACCCCGCTGCGCGCGTCCCGGAGGGACTCCTCGGACCGGGCGAGGTCGGCGACGAGCTCACCATCGTCGTAGTGGAAGAGCAGGTCGTCGTGGACGAGCTGCTGGCGCGGGACGACGCAGAAGAGGTGCACCAGCCGCTCGGCCTCGTCCCCCACGACGGCGGCGACGCGGGCGCGGCCGACGTCGGGCTCGAAGATGGCGAGGTTGACGTAGGAGTTGGAGTAGGCGGAGTGGTAGAGGCCGCAGCGGGCCACGGCGTCGGGCGCGCCCCAGAGGCGCAGGATCCGGTATACCTCGAGCAGGTGGGCGAGGAAGGTGCCGTGCTTGTGCCAGCACTCGCCGGCGCCCGCGGCGCGCAGCACGGCGGTGAGGGCCGGCAGGGCCGGGTCGCCGCACCCGTCCTCCTCGCCCCGCAGGTACGGGCGCGCCGCCGCCAGCGCGTCGGCGAAGGTGGTGCGCGCCGCCGCCATGGGTGTCGCGGTCGCCGGCGGTGGGGAGAGATCGGGGGCGGGGGAGGAGGATGCCAAAGTTGTCTGTTTTGTTTACGCTGCTGGGCGGCAGGGCCACCAGTTGCGACTTGCGACTGACGCCACTCTCG